GAATTGAAAAACTGCGGGCTATTGTCATATGTGACAGTTTAAGCACTTTCTTCAAAAGAAACCCATTTTTGTGTCAATGGAAAAGTTGTAGAGAATCAAAAATCAAGCTTATATCCAAATTTTCAGAACGATTCAAAAACTGGTTTTCAAGAAATGCGAAATTTACGAATTTTCACAAAGCTTGAATTTTAAGCGAAACTACTAAGTGTATCTTTTTAGAAATTTGGCTATAAGCCTGATTTTTGATTCTCTACAACTTTTCTATTGACACCAAAATGGGTTTCTTTTGAAGAAAGTGCTCAAACTGGGACATCTCCAGTCCTCCATTTTTGAGTCTCACACTTGTCTCACACACAAACCAAGATCCTACTACGAAAGAGGAATCCGCAAATTGCCTGTAAAATGGGTAGAAGTCGTCAATAATAATGGAAATTATTTGGAATGAATTGATGGTTTTATGTTGAATAAATTTTAGTTCAAAGTCCCGCAGTTTTCAATTCACCAACCCAATATCAAAACATAACTTGAAGAAAGTGCCCCCCGACTGTTATTGCGTAAGATCCAAATGTTCTAATAGGTTAAAATTTTTGACGTTATGTGAAATAAAACAAGCATCCCTGAGACTATCGAAATTTAATAGATGATCACAAAAAATATAACAGTTGGCAGTTATAAAGTTATCACAATCCTGGATAAGTTTTAAGATAGAGTCGATATAAGGACTCCATTTGTAACCATGACTGAAGTTTTTTAACCTCTCTTACTATTAGAAAAATTCTCGATAATCAATCGATCAATCTACGCACCTTCAGTTAAACTTTTAATGAAATTACAAGCTTCTAACTGCTTTAGACTATTTGCATAAGATAAAATTTAATAGAAAGAGGTGCTAGATGAAGAAATGTATCAAATGACCCACATTTTTATGTATTAAACTACTGAATTGGCTCATTCAGTCGCACTTTTTTGGTAAACCATAGCCGTTCTTTCTCTAATTTACTGTTTATTTCTATGTTTTTAAAAGCTACTACATTAAGGGCCAAAAAGGGTCAATTAGCTTTAATGGTAAGAACAAGTTCTTATTATAAACCCTTATTTTAGAGTTGTTTTTCTCAATGTCCTCTGTAGATTTCAAATGCTATTGTGATGCAATTCAAATGATCCCAGTGAACAATCAACTTCATCAAGAAGCTTTCTTTTGCGAGCCTATCGATTTCACAACGATTAATGTGAGGTAAGCACTTTACTCAAAGAGTTGGTTACTTTTCAAGAATTTTTTTAATAAAACTGCTTATGATATTGACGAGTACGCTAATGATTAGAAATATGCGGACTTGATGGAATTTGCGAAAACACGAGAGAAGCATATTGATGCAACTGTGGAAAAAGTGAAGTTTGGAATGAATCCACTTGATTGTAGGCATCAATTCTATTCCTTAATAAATCCAGAATGCGTTTTCATGAATTTTCTGGAGGAGCATGGCAGATGGACGGATGACAGATGTGGCTGCTTTCCCGGATTCGAGTGGAATAAAGTTTCATGTGCTGGTGAGAAAGATTTAAGCACAAATGATTAAAACAAATGATCAAAACAAATGCTATTCCTTATGTTTTGGATAAAATCTTTATATTAAACAACTTTTAGTCAAACTTGTTTTAATTTCGGACAGAAACGATTGCGAGGATCGAAATTCTTATCAAACAGACTCAAAAGGTCATAATAGTTGGAAATGTGATTGCGATCTTGGATTTAAAGCGATAAGTGTGAATAATGAACATTTTATGAAGCTTTTTGGGTTGGTGGACAATTGGAAAAGCTGTTTGTCGATGTAAAAACATGCTTAAAACCAAAGAGATTTCATTAACTGTATGCTTGAACTTTTTTGGTTCTATTTTTGGTTGTTTTTTTATTCTGTAACTGTACTTTTTACCAAAAACATTTTATTTACACAAATGAAATTAAATAATTGAATAAACTATTTAAAATTTGATCTCCTTTTTCTCTTAATCGTATGCGAAGGGACTTCGCAAAGAGCTTCATCTTGAAGACATTTCGTTCTTCCCGGACAATCATCATCTTTTTGACAAGGATCACCGATTGTATAGATTTTTCTGCCCTCAGGTCCATTACCTCTGTAAATTTGATTTGCAAAGAAGATTCTTGATTTCAACCTTGGTGTGTACTGACACACGACATACATCCAGTCATTGCACTGATTCATTCCGCAACCCAATCGGAAAGATCCATGCCAAGCCATCTAAAACAGTCTTTTTTCTTCAAAAACTTTACACTGATTAATTTGATTGTTCTAGTTTTGTTCTAGTTAAAGATTATAAAAATGATTTTATCAATAACTTACCTGTGTATAATGCCCTAATCCTTGTTTCAAGAAATCGTACAAAAAAGTCGTATCATTTCCGATTCCGATGCTCTCCACCTCACGCCACCAAAGGAAACTCGACTGAAATGGTTTATTGTTTGATTATTTGCGACCTTGAAGATCTGTTGCTGTGGCCTAGACAGGAGCGCGCTTGCCTGTCACCCGGACGCGCTTGCCTGTCTAGGCCACATCCGTTGATGTGGCCTAGACGGGAGCGCGCTTGTCTGCCAACCGCGCGGCCCTAGTTCGGCCCACCGTAGTGCCATCCAATTTTCTTTTTTTAATCTTGGATTTTAAATGGCACAACTACAATATATTCTAAGGTTTTCTAAAGAAGTTTTATTGGTGAAAACAAGGCTGAGAAAAGGTCTGGACAGACGGGCAGACATCTATAGTAGATCTGAAGAGCGAATGGCAATTACCACTGAATGGTACTCACAAAAGTAGCGTGTTCTGTGTCACTTCTATTTCCTGGGATCCAAGCCAAATTTTCTCCAATATCCAGTTTTCTTCTTGTGTAAGCGTCGGTGTGTCTAAAGTTTGGGTTTAGAGAAATTGGCTTGCTGGATTCACCTGTGTTTGCAAGCATCAGCCCAAGATTGAGCATTAGCTTCGATATCACAATCGTACATCTAAAAGTTAAAAGTTTTCTTTGTTTGCTAGGACAATCGCGCGAAATTATTTTCTTTTCGTAATTTAGTTTTTAAGTTATTAAGCCAATTTGTTCTATCTCACTGTAAGAATGAAACAAACCATTTTCAAGAGATCCTTGGCTGGAGGAGCAAAAATTGAGCGCTTATCTCTTTGTTGTCCTTTAGCAAGTCGTGTCCTAAAAGTAGGAATGCTTAACAAGCGTACAATCGTACAATTCCTGTAATCTCCTCTCTCCTTACCTCATTCGATTGTGAAAGTCCACTACAGCCAAGCGTGCCTCGTTTGAGATCCCATTCACCGTATCTGGACAGAGATCCTCCATTTCTAAATGAAAATCTACTTCACCTTTTTTTGGCCAAATTCATTTTCCGGTTTCATCCCATTTTTCACAAATGATTTAAGAAGTAGGTTATTTGTTGGGATGTACATTTTGAGGGAGAAAAGTGCATCCACTCAAGTGCAACGCTGGGCTTTCTCCCTCAAAAATTCTCTCAACCAAATCGTTTCGAGGTTAGCAAAGAGGGAAAACGAAAAGAAAAAAAAAGACAATACTTACTTACTTTACCAGAATTTGTTAAAATATTTCTTAAGAGAAGTAAAAAGTGAGTATTTGCTAAAGTAGAGCGATTAGTAGATTCTTGAAGTTGCTTCGAACCAAAACCAACTCATAAACAGAATAGAGAGGTTTAGATAAAAATTCAATATCGTTAAAAGCTTAGCTAAACTTCTACAGTTATTGCCTTCTACAGTTACTGAATATAAAAATTAAATATCGTTTACCCAGACTAAACTTCTACAATTACCTTCCAATATCACAAACCTTCAATTTCCTTCACTCCATCTCCTTTCTCAGTTTTGAAAGCACTTTCCACGTCACTCATTCTAATCCAAGCGATACCCGTCGACTCATTTTTGTGCTTGATTATCTGAAAACCAAAATTCCCTTCAGAATACAAAAAGTTTAAAGAAGTTTACTGTACTATCTTTAGTTTTCTCTCTTTTTTCGGTGAGAGTATTGTAGCAATATGTTATATGCAGTTATAACATTATCTGATTCGCTGATTCGATTATCTGATTCGCTTCTATTCGCCCCACGAATAAAGCATATAGATATAAAAGTTTTGTTTTTAATAAGAGTCAATAGTTAAAATGTTACGTTAATCAAATTAGTTGATCGTTAAAATACCTGTTTTCCTTTTGATGCATCGAGTTGAACAACTTCTTCAGCTAAACTTGAGTTTGACTTTGTTTCAGATGGTAGTGGTGGGTGTGGATTGATTGGGAATGTCATTGGTGGTGGTTCAGTTGTGGTTGTTGTTGCTTCTGTTGTTGTTGCATCTGTTGTTGTTGCTTCTGTTGTTGTTGCTTCTGTTGTTGTCGTTGGAGTTTTTGTTGCCATTGTTAGTCCAACAAATTCTTCAGCTCCTTTCTCTTTCTTTACTTCAATCTTCTCATGGAGTATGACAGTTTCTGTTGTTCTTTCTGTTGTAGTTGAAGTTGTTGGGATTTCTGTTGTAGCAGCACTTGTCGATGTTGTTGACGTTGAGCTTATAGCTATCCCAGTTGTTGAGATTTGAGTTCTTGTCTGATTCGAGTTCTCATCCAAATCCAATCCACTCAAGATGACATCTCCAACTGTCAGCTCAACATCATCAAGTAAAGAAGTTTCCTAAAAGAATTAGCTAAAGGATTAGATAAATTTAAGATTATTAATTAAATTGCTTATTCAATTGTACAAATAATCAGTAAATTTAGTCGTTAATGGTTTAGTTTTGGTTTTCTCAGAGTTTATGACTTTAATCAGCCCATGTTACAAGTTAAATACCCTAAAGTCTCGAGTATAAGTTCTGCCTTAATTTACATTCGCTTTAATTGCTTTGAATTTCTTTTTGTTGGGTTTTTATACATTTTTATTGTTATATAAACTTTTATTATTGTTCTTGGAGCGCGGGATACTACAGGGTGACAGCCTATCACCATTGCTATTTGTTATGTGCATGGATACATCCAGACGATAGTGTTGAAGAAGACGCTGGAAAGCATCTCTTTCGACCGTCGACGTGGACTTTGGCCGGATGAAGAGGCCAGGGAGGGATCCATAAGACTGAGCACCGGAGAGGAGCAGGGCGGACGCGCCGAGCCACGCCCGGAGCAACAAATAACAGCATAAAATTGCTATAACCCTCAATAAATTTACTTCTATTATTGTTCTTAAAAGCAAAAAAGTTATGCTGCAGCGGGGTTCGAACCCTCGACACACCGCACCGGAGACAGCCGTCAATTTGCATGCGAAAACCAAACAGAACTTATACTCGCAACTTTAGGGTAATTGATTTTTCAAAGAGAATTACTCATTCTTTGATTAGATCATTAGTATTCTGATTTTTGGTCCTTTGATCAAATGACTTTTGAACAAAATCTCTACAACATACAGCGTAATTTTTGGTGTTTGGTTTTGTCATATATTTTGATTCACTGATTCTGCATGTTTTTATAAAAACCACGTAGAAAACTACAAATTAAACTCGAAAATTTTGAGGGTAAGATTTGGAATCACTTGAGAATTTCAATTTTACAATTACATTGAAAGAAATGAATCGAAAAAGGAATTGATGTAAAAGTAAAGGTGTACTTGTTATTCAAGTTTACATTTCAAGTTTACATTTTATAACTCAGATTTTGCGATTCAATGTTAAAGAGTAAACTTTGTGATAACTTTGTGTGGTGATTGCTTTGCTTTGCTTAGTTTAAGAGTGAAACTTCTAAAATCAGATTGACAAACAGATTGACAAACCTTTGTATGCATCTCAGCAATCAAAACCAGCATAAATATCCATCTCATTGTCCACATTCAATAGAAAAATTGCCGAACAAATCGGAAAGCTGCCGAACAAATCTCTCAACTCGCAGATAATCGCTTTTCTCTATTTTAAAAAAGATCCAACTCAAGAAATACTTCCTTTTGCTTGAAAGGCCGTTCAAGAAATGATAAAATGATGGTGTGAACACAAAAAAAAACTATCAAAAAGAGATAGTCTTGATTTTGTTCAGAAAAAAAGTATCCAAGAAGGGCTCGTTCCGATTCGATCGGACTCAAGCACACGGCGCGTGTTCTCTTTTTATATATCCGAGAAAAAGTGTATGTGTGTGTCTGACCAAATGCGTTCAATCTCTCACTTCTTTTTTTTTTGCTATAAGTGGGTACTTTTAAGTAAAGTTTTCTCACCGAGAATTTCGCTGAGTTGAATCGCAAATCCAAGTGAGGTCAGAGCAAGAAATCTCAGGAATGTTTTTTGAAGAAGTTTCGAGAAAACAGTTCAACAAGGTCAGCGGATTTAAGATCGGCTAACTATTCGGTTGAACTGTGGCCAGCGCTGACACTTGCAAGTGCAATCCAAGGTCAAGCAGTAAATAATTTGTGCTAACTCGAAAATCGTGTAGTTGAATAGTTTAAAATAAAAATAAAAATAAAAAAGTGATTCCAAGGTTGGCGGGCGAGTCGGAGATCTCTGAGGAAAGTTTCGAGCTAACAGGTTACAAATACCATTCAAGAAAACCCACAAAAATTTCCCCTCCTTCCGAAATTTGCTTGAGTTTTTTGTTTTGAAAAATTTCGTGTAAATGAGAGAGAAAAGAACGATCGTAAATCGAAAATGTTGTCTCTTTTTCTTTCTTTTTCCTTTCCTTTCGAAACCACAATACACAATAGGAAAAAATCGGAGATTTTCCTCAACTTTTACGGAAAAAGTGAGAAAATAAGTGGGGGAAAAGCCTTGAAAACAGATATTTCTTGACAAAGTTGGTTGTTTTAAGAAGATTTTCAAAAAAATGTTTGCATTTGGGGGCAAAACAAAAGGCCATAACAAAACGAAATCGATCTATCAGCTATTCAAGGCTGAGATGCTTGCATAAAACTTTATTTACCTTAAATTCTATCCAGATTTTAAAGGTTTTTTCAATCTGAACTATAGCTTTGAAGATCTTTAACAAAGATTTGATGTTGATTGAAGAGCTTAAAGGAGGAGAAATCGAATTCGGAACGCTTCTCGCTAAAATGAAATTATCTTGGTTTAAAAGGATGTAAAGTTTTTAACGATTTGTATTATCTTATTAGGTTGTCCCATAAAAATCCAGAGATTTTTGTTTTAATCACTACTCGCTCACAACACTACGTTTTGTATTCATCTTTTTTTCTTTTTTATTGCTAAAACTTTTTTCTTTCTTGCACTAGCATTCATTTTTTAGGGGTCGACACGAGAAGAGAGTTGCAGTCGATCGAATGAAGCCAACTCGAGAAGAAATTCACGCCCAACTGCTCCAACGATCTTCAAGAGGGATTTCAGCGGCCAAAGCAACACAAGAAATCAATCAATTTTATGGCAACAAAATCGTTGGAACGAGTACTGCATAGGAATGGTTTCACAGATTCAAGACGGGCAACACAAGGATCAAACGGAAGAGGAGAAGCGGCCGACCCCTGAAAAGTGGATCGATCGATTCTGAGGCACCGATTCCTGCGAAACCCCGATGGATCAACCGGAGAATTGGTTGGAAGTTACTGTGGATGGATGACTGTGTAGCGATGACTGCGATGACTGGGATGACTGCGAAAAGTGGAAAGAAATCGTAGAAAACAACGCTAAATTCCATACGAAAGATCGGAAACAATCCAAGTCAAAAGAAAGCTGACATGCAACCATTTGTGGAGCGAATACCGGCATGGTCGGCTTCGTCTTTCGAACATCATCACTCACGATCAAACGTGGGTTTTCTACGATGGTCGAGTGTTACAACGGCAGTGATTGAAAAAAGGGCAAGCATGTAAAATGCTGCCAAAATGGAAGATCTACGAAAAGAAGCGAATCTTGTGTGTCGACTGGTGTTCAACAGGCGTCCTTCTCTGGGAACTTCTTAAACCGAGGCAAAATTTTAATATCGATGTTTATGTATATCATATGAGAAAAGTGGAACAAAAAGTTGGAAGGTTACTCTATGAAAACAAATGGAACGGCCCCGTTTTCGTTCTTCAGGATGGCGCAAGCTCCCACAAATCAGAAAGATCGATCGATTTTGTGAAGGACAACCTACACTGGAATATCCTTCCTCATGCACCGTATTCTCCGGACGTTGACCCTTCTGACTATCACTTGTTCTTGTCGCTAAAGGATTTCTTACGTGGTAAAAAGTTCAAAGATGAGAGCGAATTCGAGGATGAATTGAACGACTATTTTCGCTCGCGCCTTGGGTTTTACGAACGAGGGATTGGCAAGCTACCCAAACGTTGGAGAAAAGTTATAAATTCATCTGGAAAATATATAATTTGATTCTGATTCTTCGTTGTTTCTATGTGCTAAAAATAAATGAAATTCAAAATCTCTGGGTTTTTATGGGACAACCTAATAGTACAATGGATTCCAAAAGGAAAGGAAACTTTATACTAGAGTCGTTTGTCATATGGGAGCGATTACGCGGCCGAACAAAGAACAAAGAACACCTCGCCAGATATTGAGATGTAAATTTGTACATGGAGGTTTTCTGGGTCGGGGAATCGATCCGAGCTATACATTTTGTTGAGTCTAAGGCACAATTGGGTTACAAAATTGGGTTGCTTTTCTCAAAGAAGGGGAAATGTGAAATCTACTTTTTCATCCTGAAATTTACAGAAATGTGCTAGCACTAAAATATTTATATTTAAGTTACTTTGAAACTAAAAGCATCATTTGAAAGATAAGAATTTCCAAAATAGGCTAATAAGTTCTCGAGTTTATTTAAAAGTTTAGACAACTTAAACCCGAGTTCCAAGTATAGTCAATAAAATGAATAGTTTCAATCGATTTGCCGTTTACTTTGTCCAAATTTTTGGAAACAATTTTGGCCTTAGGCTGTCTTTTTTCTAAAACTTGCATCTATTAAATTAATTATTAGTGAGATTCGATCTCAATTCGGACTACATCTTTAATCAAATTAGACATTCAGACGGCAGCAATTCACCAAGAAGACATTAGTATCGAGTCGTCAAGCATTTATCCCTTTCAAGTGGATATCTCAATCATTAAAGTGGATATCTCAATCATCAATCAGTTTCCTGACGTCATTATGAACTATTAATCAGCGCCTAAGTGAAAATAAATAATTAAGGCAGATTTATGATTGCATTTATGCTTTTTAATCTTTCAATCACTTCAACTATCCGTTTTTTTGATCCAATTACAATTCGAGATCATTTTTAAAAAGAACAGAGTACTATAAAAACACGGCCAAATCAGATAAACTTTACAGATCTCTGGGGAGATGAATCAGAAAACCAAAAATGAAATTTTGTTGTGTCGTTCACTTTTTGAAGTTTGATTCTTTTTCAAATCAATCTTATGGATCAAAAGCTTTGTCTTGAGGCTGTCGATATCTATGATAATTGGTTTCAACCATTCATTAATATGTTGGCCATCGTTTTGAATTGCACTGGCACTGTTCTGAGTTTGATTGTTATTTATGCGCTAGCGAGAAAGCATGTGAGTTCTTGAAAGTAAAGAAGAAAAAAGAAACTTCTAAAGACAACACATTTGAATATCTACACTAAATGAAATCAAAGCCAATATACTTCTCTTTTTCATTGCCAACATTTGGGCATTGAGTTCTTGTGAAAAGCAATTCACTCATTCACATTGGCTGATCAGATTAATCTGATCCATTAATTGACTTTCAGCGCTGAAACATAGACTTTTGGAAATTTCATGGTTTCAAAAACACCAGTCTTTTGAATTTCTTGCCTTTTCCCTCTTTTCTCTTCATTAATATATTCAACAACCGTTTTAAAACACATATTTTTGGCACGACGGAGCTAGACTTGCCAATCCTTTTATAGGCTGAGAATACAAAAGATGATCGGCGGGATTCGAATCCACGATCTCTAGCTTACCAGACGAACGCTCTACCAATGAGCTACAAAGACACGGATCTCATTTCCACCAGGATATGGCCTTATGCCTTACTACAGACGTTTCACAGCCTTCATTTCTTTGTGTAGATGTTGCTGTAAAATGATCGCATCGATGTGCACTTTCCATATAGTTTATTGGTCGTTTAATCGTTGAAAGTGCTTCAACGTGCGCTCAAAGTGGCAGAATAAGCCAACGTTTTTGTGTCGGATACACCAGCCTTCCACAAAACTTTTTTTGATATGAAAATCGTTTTGAAACTGACTTTTTTTGGCCAAAAGATCACTTTTCAGAGAAAAAGCCTGTTTTTCGAACTTAAAACTTGGTTGTAGATATGTTAACTATTCGTCTAAATCAAATTCCCATTTAGATTTTCAACACCAATGGACGAATCATTGTAATGAGCTTATTTCTCGGAATGATTGTAAAAGCCACTCTAGTAACTTTCCGATCAATCCGGCAACTAAGAAAAATCTTCTCTGGGGTGAGTTTATCTCTTGTGACTTTTAGAATTGTTTCAGGATCCATGTAGCCTTGTCGAAGTGTTTCAATATTGTCAAGCTAGTCAAGTGATCAATGTTCGAGCTCAATTCATGAGTGTTTGGGCGTATCCGGCGTTTTGTATAGAACGGATTATCACCTTTTTTTTGCCAAATCTTATTGAAAGGATTAACTTTCCGATATTGGGAATAATTCTAACAGTGCTTATGGTAAGTGCTTGAATATGACAAGCCACAATGACAAGCTAACAATCAGCCGATTCCTTAGTCTGACTATGGCTTTCCAACAGTTTTTGTGCACTGAGCTGAAGTCAAAGCCAAGTCTGACTGACTTTATATTAACTTGGTTGGCTTCTGACTTTCTAAACCCATTCTCACCTAACTATTCCTTTTAGTGGGTTTCCTTTTTGGTCACT